GGGGTCCCAGACTGCGAGAGGGCACAGGCCGGGCTGAGGGACCTCTCCCCGCCCCGAGTGTACAAATTTTTGTGCACCGGGCCTCTAGTCCTGTATAATAAAAGCCTAACATGCAAATTGACCAAACGGCAGAATGACCTATGGCACGACCGGTCGCTGTGACACGCACTGACCACCAGGGGGCAGACACTCAACGCAGGAGCTGCCCCGAGCCCGCAGGCCCCAGGCCAGCCAAGGCAGGTGCCAGCGGGGCCCCCCAATCACCCCATCGGTCGCCCCACAGATGGGCCCTGATTGCCGGCCAGGCTTAGGGATCCTACTCATGCACAAATTTCGTGCTTTGGGCCTCTAGTTCATTTAATAAAGACACAAACATGCAGAGAAGCTAATTCATTTATTCTGCAAACATTTACCAAGTGCTTATTATCAAGGACAGGGCTAGGCATTAAAGGGGTAAATGTGAAAATGTTCCCATTCTTTTCTTCTCAGAGTCATAATCAAGTGGTCAAACTGAGACGCAAACCCTGGCAGATCTGACACCAAAGCCAATATTTCAAATAGCATGCTACATTGTAAGTATCTAGTGCCTTGAGATTTTTCATTAGATACAGTTTATTTGTCAAAAAGTATACAACAACCTAACATTCTAGTCTTAATTCAAGTTATCTACTACAGAGTGGCAAACAATATAGAGTTTCAAAACACTCCCTTAAATAGCAATTTTACTAAAGATGACCATCGTTTCCTCTTACAGCTTTACATGCGACCCCTTCTAACTACAACTGATTTGCCACTAACTAGAATGGTTAGAACTGAAAACTGAGTCAAGTTAGTGGCATAACACAGAATGAAAAATATCCATGAGCAATACACAACTGCTCAAATCCCTGTTGATTGTTCAATTTTTTCCTTGGATTATGTTACATACGCCAAGGCCCTGGTTAGGTAGATCAGTTGGTTAGAGTATTGTCCCTGTGTGCCAAGGTTTTGGGTTCAATCTCTGTCAGGGCCCATATAAGAATAAACCAATGAATGCATAAATAAGTGAAACATAAAAATTAATGTCTCTCTCTCTCTCACATAGAAGAATAAACCAATGAATGCATAAATAAGTGAAACATAAAAATTGATGTATGTCTGTCTCTCTCTCTCTCTCTCTCTCTCCCTTCCTCTTTTCCTCTCCACGCCCCCCCAAAGTCAATAAATAATTTTTTAAAGACTTATATTTGCTAAATCCTCTTTTCTTGAGCTAAATTTAACTGGGTTCTGTTTCTTACACTGAAACCATTCCTGACCAAAACTGTATTCACTGAAATAAGTTATTCGCTGATATAAAACCTAATTCTTTATTCTATTTCAATTATAAAAATGTTATCATTCAAAATTAATTTTAACGTGAGTTGACGAAAACATTTCCCAAATCTTTTCCTAAATTTACACATGAAATTTTCTCCCATCTTGCTTTGAGAAATGAATGCAAACAGAAACCCAACCGAGTTCTCAAAATAATTGGTAAAGATTTCCAGGCACAGGATTAAAGTAACACATACCTGCTCAGTTACCAAGCTTCTATTTAGATCCTTTTGCATTAATCAGTATTATGTGTGTTTTTTAATCCTCACCCAAGAATATGTTTTGATTGATTTTTGATTTTTTTTTTTCTTTTGAAAGATAGGAAGGGAGAGGTTGCCTCTCGCACGTGCCCTGACTGGAGGTCAAACCCACAACCTTTTGGTGCACGGGATAATACTACAACCAACTAAGCCACCAGGCCAGGGCAGTATCATGTTTTTGTTTATTTTATTTTAAACTTTTTTATTGACTTTTTTAGAGAGAGAGAGAAAGAGAGAGGGAGAGAGAAAGAGAAACACTGATGTGAGAAACATTGATCGGTTGCCTCCTGCACACACCTCAACTGGGGAAAGAGCCCATGACCTGAGCATGTGCCCTGGGCACATGCCCTGACTGGGAATTGAACCAGAGATCTTTTGGTGCAGAGGAGGACACTCAACCAAACCACCCTGGCCAGAGCAGTATTATGTTTTTTTAAAGAAGGGGAGGAAGAAGGGGGAAATTGATGGGCGCACAAATCTGGAAAACAGTATATAATATTAAAAAACTTTTTTTGCCCGGCCAGCATGGCTCAGTGGTTGAGCGTTGACCTATGAACCAGGAGGTCACAATTCGATTCCCAGTCAGGGCACATGCCCGGGTTGCGGGCTTGATCCCCAGTGTGGGGTGTGCAGGAGGCAGCCAATCAATGATTCTCTCTTATCATTGATGTTTCTATCTCTTTCTCCCTCTCCCTCTCCCTCCCTCTCTACCACAGGGCATTTGGAAAAAACCAGGGTTACACTATTTTGGGAAACTAGAGAGAGCACTGCTTCAACATAAGTTGTTCATGATCTATCTAAAAATAGTATCAGAGCTATTTCTTTCAATTACCTATAATGCTAATTTCTTAGACCACATTAATCTTAACACTTAAATCAGCCATGGGCAAACTACAGCCCGCGGGCCGGATCCGGCCTGTTTGAAATGAATAAAACTATTGAAAAAAAAGACCGTACCCTTTTATGTAATGATGTTTACTTTGAATTTATATTAGTTCACACAATCACTCCATCCATGCTTTTGTTCCGGCCCTCCGGTCCAGTTTAAGAACCCATTGTGGCCCTGAGTCAAAAAGTTTGCCCACCCCTGACTTAAATCATGCCATTCCCTTGCTTAAAGGTCTATAGTTGGCTTTGCCTAAGGATAGTCCCAGTCCTTGATTTAACTTCATTATCATCCATATAAAAGTGTGAAGATACTAAAATATGTTTCAAACCAGAGTAGAAGAAAGACTTAAAATAGCAAAATTATGAAATATCACAAGATAGGGCTACTACTCCATCAAAGTCCGAGTTCACACCTCTGAGTGTCTATCTATGCACCTCACGCTTTATCAATTTCCGATCCCTCCAATCTGAAAGTAGCCATAAGGGATTTTTGTTTATGGAAAATTTGTGTAAACTCTGATCTAAATTTTTTAAAACTAGAAAAGCAGTTTTTTGTTTTGTTTTTTACTTTTGTAAAAGGCAGCAGGTATATTATTAAACACTAGAGGCCCGGTGCATGAAAATCCATGCACTGGAGGGGGTGTCCCTCAGCCTGGACTCCTCCTCTCACAGTCCAGGAGCCCTCAGTGGCAGGAGGCGACCCAGTGATCAGGGGAAGGCGATGCCCCATCACACCTCTGCTGCTGCCACTGCCAGCAGCGCAAGCCTCGGCCGCCCTGGTTACCTGAGCCTCAGGCCGGCCCTGGGCAGCTGGGAGGCTGAGGGGACTGGGGGACTCCAGAGGCAGGCACCGCAGCAGAGCTGAGGGGATTGGGCGCCGCCATCTTTGAGGGTATGACAGTCAATTAGCATATCCCCTCCTCACTGGCTGTGGGCACCACCATCTTTGTGACGGCGTGAGGGTCAATTAGCACATTCCCTCTTTATTAGATAGAATGATTTTGAAATCTCAACTTACTTTTCCATCACTATCAGATATCCCGTAAGGAAAAAAAATTCTTCATCCCAGACTACTCAATGGACCATAGTCAAACCCCTCAGTCTTGCATTCAACACTATTTACTGTCTCCACTTAAATTACAAATTAAATTACAGTCCCACCATTCCCAAGACGAAACTGTTTTAATCAGATGAGCCTTCTTACCAACTCCTAGAACTGTTATATGCCATTATACTTCTGTATCTTTGTACACATTCTCTCACCCAAAATATCTCTTCTCTATTTATTTCAAACCATCTTACTTCCAAATATCTTTCAGAGAGCTCACAATGATTTTCCACGTTATCTGAATTCCCAATATTAAAGAACATCTTAAAAGAACAGAGAAAAAAATCCTCAATATTTAAGCTAGCTGCACTACTTTGAAAGCAAAGGATAAAGGCAAGAAAAAGCAAAAAGTGAGACAAGTTGCAGCCAACTTCCCTAGGCACAGGGAAATTCTTTTCGTTCTCAAAAATGTCTGTTTTTCTTGGAGCAATATCCCCACCCTGTGGACATCGAGGATATTATTAATACCATTTCTGCAGCCCTGCACTTTTCATGAGCATAGGCAGAAATGGAATGCAGATGAACATAATGCTGTATCCTTAGTCTCAGCTAATCAGAAAGTAGTACAACCTCAAATAACTTAAATGTTAAGGTATTTTCTCCATAACTATTAACTAAATTTCTCTTTATTATCTACTTTTGGGTATCCTCAGATTCTGGGTAGAGGTTTAATAATACAGTTCCTGGCTTTATGAGGCAGTAATGAGAAAGAAACCAGTGGAATGAGACTGATTTAACAAAGAAGCATAAATAAGACAGCATTAAAAGCTTTTACTCACTGGGCAGGCTAGAAGGGGTCAAAAGGGGTTGGGGGGAACATATGTAACACTTTCAACAATAAAGTTTTTTTTTATTTTTTTTAAAATATATTTTATTCATTTTTTACAGAGAGGAAGGGAGAGAGACAGAGAGCCAGAAACATCGATTTTCGGCAAGTTTTTTTTTAAATAAAAGCTTTTACCCATCTATAAATTTCATATGATGTCTCTGAAAAAATGACCAGTCATGCCCTGGCCATGTGGTTCAGAGGTAATGCATCAGCCCATGCACCAAAGGGTCTTGGGTTCGATTCCTGGCCAGAGGCTCATACCTGGGTTGCAGGTTAATTCCCCACCCTGGTGGGGGTATGTGCATGAGGCATCCAGTCGAAGTTTCTCTCTCACATTGATGCTTCTCTCTCCCCCCCACCCACTTCCCTCCCTTCTACTCTCTAAAAATCAATGAGGATTAACAACAAAAAAGACCAGTCACAAAGCCTCAGATCCTCCATCTTCTATTATTACCTTTTTTGAGCTGTACACAATGTTGCACAATATGCATTTTCGTTCTCGTACCATAGTGACCAGATCTGAAGCACTCAACGTCACACCTGCAATGAGGAAGTAACATTTAGTAACCTTTTCCCCCCTCAGATGTCTTCTTAGATTCTTCTTAGCTTGGCCAAAAAACAAGTTTTACATCTCCCTCACCTCCACCCTGTTCCTCCCCCAGTCTTCTCATCTTGGTAAATGAAAATCCCAATTTTCCAGGTACCTAGGGCAAAAACTTTGAGAATCATCCTTGGTCCCGCTTTCTCACCCCATATCCACCCTCACCAGCAAATCCTGTCAGTCCCACCTTGAAATATATCCAAAACCCAACTATTCATCACTACTTAGCATATCATCACAAGGAACCAGCCTACTGATTTGACTTCCTATTTCTACTCTTATCCTCTTACAGTCTATTCTCAAAACAGTAGCCAGAGATTCTCAGAATGAGATTCTTTTAAAATTTAAATCAGATCACATAATTCCTCTGCTCAGAATCTTTCGATACATTCCCACCTCATTCAGAGAAGATCCAAAGTCCTTTGTCACAAGCTACAAAGTCTGTTTCTCACTTCCTCTCTGACTCCATGCCCTACCACTCTCCCTCTATCCCTCCACTCATTGCCCTCCTTGCTATTCCTTGCTCACACCAGTGATTCTCCTACCCTAAGACTTCTTCTGTATCTCCTGTTCTCTCTGCATGAAACATTCTTCCCCAAGATGTCGTTATGGTTCCCATGGCTCACTCTCTCATGCAGCCTCATCAAGGCGGCCTTCCTTGCCCTCCTACAGAATACTTTCCAACCCTCATTTGCACTGTTCCCCTATTAACCGGCTTAATTCTTTAACAGCACTGTGGTAGACTGTTTCCATAGATGGCCACAGCCATATCTTCCACCCCATGTACTCTTTTGCAATGTGATCATGCTATCCCCACCTATCAAAAGGTGAGTCCAGCCTTAGCTGATTTGGCTCAGTGGACAGAGCATCAGCCTGTGGACTGAAGGGTCCCAGGTTCGATTCTGGTCAAGGGCACACGCCTGGGTTGCGGGCTCGGTCCCTAGTAGGGGGTGTGCAAGGAAGCAGCGGATCAATGATTCTCATCATTGATGTTTCTCTCTCTCTCTCCCTCTCCCTTCCTCTCTGAAATCAATAAAAATATATATTTTTTAAAAGGTGAGTCCATTTTCCCTCCCTGTGATCTGTTTTGACCAATAAAATGTGGTGGAAGTGACAATGTAATTTCTGAGAGTAGGCCTTTAAAAAGCCGCAGCTTCTGCCTTTGCACACTTGGAAAACCCCTCTTAGAATGCAGCCATCATGCTGTGCCACAAGAACAGGGACTTTGTATGTTTTGTTCACTAGCATAGGCCTAGCACTCAGTACCTGGCACACTGCAGGTACTCCGTATTTGTTGAATTGTTCCAAATGGAACTATCTTGGGCTATTAATTGTGAGCTAGAGAGCTGGGTAAATGCTGGGGTTTGGATTAAGACCAGAGATTTTCTATTTTATAATCCTCCATACTTTCCTCTTGAGTCCCAGCAAAGACAGTCTACATGAGAATTTAATGCCACTCTTCAAGCAGCACTGTTTTCCTGCACACACACACACACACACACACACACACACACACACACACACCAGGCTCTAATAGATATATCTGCCCCCTCGCCTGGCTTCGTTCCTTAGGGGACTTAAAACTGTGAGGCAATGAAGTTATAAACTATCCAAATTTAATCTGTAACTCCCAGACAACATGGTAGAAGGGCCAATGAGAAGAGGCCTAAGGTTCTCTACTTCTCTTGGCCACTCAGCAGTTTCCTTGCTATTGCAACCCACTTCAGACCACTACTTAATGTCTAAAATGATTTTACTCAGTAACAAAGTACAAAACACCAAAATAAGATCACAGGTTAAATTTTATTCATTTGAGCCCTGGCCGATGTGGCTCACTTGGCTGGGTACAATTTCCATAGAGGACATACATGCAGGAGGTGGTCAGTGGATGTTTCACTTTCACATTGAGGTTTCTCTCTCTCTCTAAAAAATCAATTTAAAAAATGTGTACATTTGAAAAAGCCAAATGTCAACTAACTAATAAAACAAAGCAGCACACCTTTAAGGATAGGTACAGTATTAGTTATGCTTCCAATATTGCTAATAATCTCCTAAATTTTAAAATTAACATAAATAACACTGGTGCTAAGCCTCAGCGCATAATTATTCTTTTAATTTCCTTATATCCTAGCATTTACTTCAACTTTAACTATAATTATTGCTTACATGCAGTATTTGGTTACTTCCTTCAATAAGCATTTACTGAACACCAAGCATTGTCCTAAAAGTTGGGGAAACAGTGGTAAAGAACGTATGTCCAGAAATGTTTTTAATACTGCTTCAAATTATTAACTATCAAAGCAAAACAGAAACAAAAAATTTAGAAGCAATAGTCAATGAAAGTGTATGACTTTCACCCTGGCCTGTGGCTCAGTGGTTAGAGCATCAGCCCATTGACCAAAAAGCCGAAGGTTCAATTCCCAGTTAAGAGCATGTACCTGGGTTGCAGGTAGGGGTGAGGGGAGTGCAGGAGACAATCAGTCACTGTGTCTCTCACATTGATGTTTCTCTCTCTCTCTCTCTCCCCTCCCCACACTCCACACCTCCCTCCCTCCCCTTCCACTCTCAGAAAAGCAATGAGAAAAAATATCCTGGCTCTAGCCAGTTTGGCTCAGTGGATAGAGCATTGGCCTGTGGACTGAAGGGTTGCAGATTCGACTCCACTCAAGGGCACATGCCTGGGTTTCAGGCTCGATCCCCAACAGTGGGAATGCAGGAAGCAGAGGATCAATGAGTCTCTCTCATCATTGATGTTTCTGTCTCTCTCCCCCTCTCCCTTTCTCTCTGAAATCAATAATATTACAAAAAAAAAAAATCCTGCCCTAACCAATTTGGCACAATGGATAGAGCATCGGCCCATGAACTGAAGGGCCCCAGGTTCAATTTCAGTCAAGGGCATGTACCTTGGTTGTGGGCACATCCCTAGTAGGGAGTGTGCAGGAGGCAGCTGATTGATGTTTCTCTCTCATTGATATTTCTAACTCTGTATCCCTCTCCCTTACTCTCTGTAAAAAAATGAATAAAATATATTTAAAAAAAATAAATAAAGTGTATTTCTCCTCTGCCTAGAGGAGAAACATGGCCTTTGGAATGTCTTCCCCTCCATGCTTTGGGCCAACCCTTCCTAGACACTCTCTGAGCAGCACGATAAATTCCTACTGGGCATCTCACAATCTGGGCACACAAGCACCTCAAATATAGCAGTCTTTCCTTTAACAAACATTTAACGAATGATTTCTGTGTGTCTGGTAGCATAGACAGATGTCCCTGTCATTCTAGTAGTAATCAATAAAATATATATATGTGTGTGTGTGTGTGTGTGTATACACACACACACACACATACACACACATATAAATCCTGGGCAAGGATTAACAATAATCAAAATGTGACTTTCTGGCACAAACAATAGCAGTCCTTGTGGAGTTTTTACATATTTACCCAATTGAAAACTAAGCATAGTGGAAAACCCGCAGGTGCCTAGCAACCTGGATAAACAATTATAGGGTGGGACCTCACCCCCAGGGTGACTTTTCCTCCCCTAACATACAGCTAGTGGTGAGGTTTGACCTCCAGACCTTTCCTCCCTAGAGATCAGTGGTTCTCAACCTTTCTAATGCTGCGACCCTTTAATACAGTTCCTCATGTTGTGGTGACCCCCAATTTCATTGTTACAAATTGAACATAATTAAAGCATAGTGATTAATCACAAAAACAATATGTAATTATATATGTGTTTTCCGATGGTCTTAGGCGACCCCTGTGAAAGGGTCGTTTGACCCCCCAAAGGGGTCGCGACCCACAGGCTGAGAACCGCTGCTACAGATAACATCTATGCCTCAGTTGTATTTCAGCTCCAGGCCCAGAAAAGGAAAAAAAAAAAAAAAACACAGCCTCAGGAGGACAGCTGCATGGAATAATGACCTGCCCTGGTGCTGGCCAATCAGTGGAGACCACAACTCTGAAAGGACACATCTAGAAAGTTCCTGAATATTCTACTGAGAGTTTCCCCTGGGATCCCCACCACACAACTCAGATCTCCAAGTGCTTGAGGTTACATCATACAAGACAAGTAACTGTATAAAATTCAACTGCTGTCCTCACTTTAACCACCTTACCTTTTATATATACCCACTCTAAAATCTTTCAAATTTTCTCCAAGTAATTATGAGAAATATCTACGATATTCCTTAGTCATAATAGCCTAAAAATCCTGTAATTGTCTTTTCTTAACATCCTAATTACTATTCTGTCAATACAAGTACCATTCCAATAGTAAAAACCATATTATTGATTTTTTCCCCTTCAGAATCCCATACTTAGATGATGCTAAGTACTGACAGATTTCTGTTTTTCATTTTTTGTTACCTATTCTTCCGTGTGATAAACCTGCATGACCTTACATCTGTTCTTCTCCCTTCAGCCATTGCTCTACTCACTGCCCTGACTCTTGCTGCTAATATATAAATAAGTTCTAAAACTAAGCAGTACATCAGAATCGCCCACATAATCCTATATAATCCTATATAATAAAAGAGAAAAATGGTAATTGGCGTACGACGATACCCTTTTCATTGGCTAATCAGGGCTATATGCAAATTAACTGCCAACTCAGATGGCAGTTAACTGACAACAAGATGGTGGTTAATTTGCATATGTAGGCACAATGCAGGGAGGTG